GTTTTAGTTTTTCAATGTGTTTTGTGAAGGTGAAAAAATCCGGTATGGCTCCTGGCCAAGAGCAGGATTTTTGTCCACATCTTGTTTGGTGGTGTAGTTGATGCTGATGAGTACGGTTTCAATGCATGCGTTGGAAAAACTAATGTCTTTTGCAGGTGATTCCCTGCACAGCGTTTTTATGATCGAGATGTATATGCTTTCCAGATGGTTTGTATCTCGTCGATTTTTTTAAAATTATCTAAACACCATCGCTCGCAGGTATCCTTTGGAGCTTCTCAAGCCAAAGAGCCTAAAGATTAAGGTATGGCAATCTGAGATTGTGTAGTGGTTAAGTGTGCATCCAAAGCAGAGGAAAGTGGTTGATCCAAATGTGGAAAATGCGTCTCAACGTTGAGCGTTCGGCTTGAAGGTTGTTGCCTTGTGGAAGAATGAATGCTGGAATGGTCGTTGGAAAGGATACTTTATTTCTGTATGGAGGTATGAAAGAAGTCGGCAAAAAAAAAGTGACACGACGACCTTTCCTCGCTGGACCTTCGATGTGTGGAAGTGCATTATTGAGGTTAGTATGATCGAGCCATCATCCAGCCTCATACTAATGTCTCAAGCAGGAAACACAAAGCGCGTGGATTGAAGCTAGTAAGGAGAAAGGCGAAACTGATGGTGACAACAGTGATGCTGGATCGATTAATAAAGGAAAAGACGAAGAGGACGATGACGAGGTAGTAAAAAAGAAGGATGTAAGAAAACTTGTCTGTTTCCTTTTGTGTTCTAGGATGCAGTGGAGTCACTGTGAAGAGGCAGCTGCTATTCTTAGGGGCGAAGGCAAAAAGGTGACACAGAAAGCACGGAAATTAAAGATTGATCCGAGCTGGGCCTGGCTGATTCCCAACAAACACTTTTGGTGAGTGCTGATAGTAGTTCATCTTCCTGTTTTGTTATTGATTTGTCTTTCAGCCTGGAGAAACGCTGAGAGATTTTTTCTCTTGGACGATCATGTATTGGCAAATGGCACCTTACGATCACACCCAACACACTGGAAAGGTGACAACGCAGGTTTTCTTTCGCTCGTTCTTCATGCTCTATGCATCTATCAGGAGCTCAGGAAGGATGGATTTGACTTGGCAAAGACACGCTACAGAGAACTTAAAACCCGTCCTTGACAAGGTAAAGTGGTGTTTTAAGAAGGAATCCTCACAACAGCATTGTTTGATTTGCAGCTCGCGAGACTTGAAGCCGACCACAACGCCGAAGAGGAGGCTACCAAACCTTCCAAAGAGCGCAGCAAGAAGAAAGGATAAGGTCCGTGATCTCTGAAAGTTCTAGCTGAAAATTAAATGAATAGATTACAGTTATTCCCAGAGGTATGGTGAGTGCTTTCCTGTTCTAGAGGCAATGCCATGGACATGAAACCACTAGTATACAATCTCTGCGTCCTATCATCAATGGTGATAGAAGGTTAATTAATAAGGACGATCCGCATGAAATGGATATCCTGCTCTTACCCAGGATAAAGTTTATATTTCCATGATTGCTCGCAGAGTGTATGGGCCTGAGATATGCCATGGCTTGCTTTCGGTTGCCTTTCGTAAAGTGCAGAGTGAACACTCTCTCTACGCGGTCCATAAACTTTACTACCTGTAGTGCATTGGAGCAATGAAATCCCATCAGCAAGACCCCCAAAGGAAAATTTTTTCACACCTGTCACGACGTTGCAAAGTGAGAGTTTTCGACCATCTTGAGGTAACTGCCAGACTCCAGTCACGTGAAAATTTAAAAAAGCTTTTTAGAAGTCTGCAGTAATTTTCCATTTTCCATAAGTACCTTGTCATATTTCTTGCGGATCCTGACGAATGCCATCATGTTCAAGGAGCTGCCAAGTAAGTTTTCAACACTTTGAGAACATGGATCAATCGTATAGAGGTCATTCACCTCAAGTTTCTTAGGAGTCGAAGCCCACGATAAAATTCGACAAAGGCCGTCTGGAGCATCTTGGCTGCTCGCTGAACCTTTCCTTTGTTACCGGGGCTCCCCTTCAAGCTCTGAGATTCGTCATCTACAACATGGCAGAGATCA